ATTAGAACAGTAAGGTATGACTCCCATGAGCTTTGAGGACTGCATCCACACATCTCTGCAGTGACTCAAATCACTTATTAATAAAGTCATCTGGAATGACAAAGAAAGAGTTCTTGCAGGACTCCCAGAGTTCATCAAGATTCTTTTGATTCATCTTCAATGCCTCCTCCATCTTATACCAGACATGCTCAATAATGTTCATTACTGGTGACTGGGCTGGCCAATCCTGGAGTACTCCGACCTTTTTTGCTTTAAGAAACTTTGATGTGGAGGCTGAAGTATGAGAAGGAGCGCTATCCTGCTGAATAATTTGTCCTCTCCGGTGGTTTGTTATGTAATGGGCAGCACAAATGTCTTGATACCTCAAGCTGTTGATGTTGTTATCCAATCTCTTGTATGCCCCCATACTGAATACAACCCCAAACCATGATTTTTCCTTCACCAAACTTGACTGATTTCTATGAGAATCTTGGGTCCATGCAGTTTCCAATAGGTCTTTTGCAGCATTTGTGATCATTGGGATGCAGATCAACAGATGATTCAGAGGAAAAATCTACCGCCACTTTTCCAAATGATCAACTAGAAGTGAAATTATTATTTGTTGCTCTTACAGCTGGGATCAACAACAAGACTTTTGTCTGGTACTGTGTATATATATATATATATATATATATATATATATATATATATATATATATATATATATATATATATATATATATATATAATTCTATTTTTCAATTAAAGTTGTACTTTCTTTTTATCAATTAGTACTAAAACGCAAAATGTATACCAGTTTCCACAAAACCATGAAGCAGAAAAATTTATTATTACCAAGAACAATTGTTAATGATTGAGTACCAATAATAAGGGTTTATAATAGAGCACCAAGTCATCATATTGTAATTGTTTCTGAAAGATTGTGACACTGAAAACTGCTAAAATACATTAAGAAAACACTTGTTCATTTTGGATGTTATTTTTACTTTCGACCGAAAAAAAAAAAGCCCCCAAAAAATCTCAGTTTTTGCCTGCTGTGCAGTCTTACCTTAAGAGTCCCACTCTTCATTACATCCATTAAGCCATGCAGGCTCTTATGAGAGAATTACACTGCAGATACACAACACCGATGAAAGATGAAAACTCTCTCTGGGAGCTTTCAAAGCAGTGGCTGTAAACTCAAACCAAGAGACTTCATGATTCATTTACTAAGTTTGTGTCACACCGTCTCTTGGCAAGAAGTAGCCCGAGGCTGCCTACTGACTGGAAAACTTTTCTTCTTCTTTTTCTCCTCTGGTTTTCTTTTTTCTTTTTCAGATGGAGAGGAGCTGCTGGAAAGCGAATCGTATACAATGTCAGGCTCGCAGGATAAGCTTCAGAACACTCATGCTGAAGTCACGTAAGTTTGCGTTCGACAATGAAACCGTAGAAGCTTCTTTGCTGATGAGTTTCTTTAAACGACTTACATTTTTATGTTGTACACAATGTTGTGACCTTGAAAACTCTTCTTGTAAAAAAAGTACATAGTAACTGAAGTCAGGTTTGTAAATGCATACAGTATAACATTTACAAATATATATTATGCTGTATTTAACGACTCTGGTCCAACAAGTTTGTGTGTAAGAAATCGTTACATATAGTTAAGTCCATAAATATTTGGACATACACAAAAGTCTAACATTTTTGGCTACATACATTAACACAATAAATTTGAAATGAAGCGAACAAGATGTGTTTTAACTGCAGACTGTCAGCTTCAATTTTAGGGTATTTGCTTGTATTGCTTGATTTTCTCACTGTTTTGTAAAAAACAATGTTTAGTGGAATTAAGTTGCATATAAGTGTAATTTAGGGGATCTAACTATATTTAAAACATTTTTATCAAATCTATCAATCAGTCAACAGGTCTATTTCACAAATATGGTGATGGAAAGTGGAATAGGGGAGCATTGTTTCCAATCGCTGTTTCTATAGACCAATTACCATGTTTGTAAACATTCAGGATGCGCGCGCAAGAAGGTGGCAGAAAGCAACCGGGAGCCCTAGCATTTACAGCGAGGGAATGACATCAGATGCGGTGCAGAGTTTGTTGTTGTCTTAGAAATAAGATAAATTACTTACATATTATATATATTATTTACATAATGCTTACAGCATAATATAACAGCTCGTCGCCCAGTGACAAGCACAGTGATTTAGCAAAATTAACGTTAAAGTGAGCGGCGTTCGTCTGACAGCTCCCTTTGCGATAGCACCCATCTAATGGATATTGGATAAGACGAAGTGACTGAGCATCCAGCCCGAAATATACAATCTCAATGAAGCTCCGAGTGATTTTACAAGAGAGAAGTTAAAGGTCTACAAGTCTTTGGATGCCAACAATGATGTTCTTTGTGGTCATGTGCAATAAATATTGCTCCATGATGACCAGATTCAAGAGCTAAACATCGAGATTCCGCCTAGCCAAAGACAAGGAAACAAGACGGAGCTAACGTTATACAAGGCCTGGGTAATTAATCACCAACACGCAAAATGACTGCATTCTGACAGTGAACTTCACCTGTACAGCAGGGTATGTGAACCTACACATAGAGGTAAAGTTGGTTTTATATTTGCACATTCAGACTTTCTCCTTAATAATATACGTTAATTTCATAAAAATATTATTTGCAAACTCTAAATAGCAAAATCATATTAGCAGCAGCCAATGACTATCAAAGTACAACATTGTTCACAGTCAAATAAACAGTGTTAATGATGTTTTCAAGTCACACTTGCAGGTTATTTCAGACCGAATATTCAAAGTGTCGTGGTAAACAATATAGGGAGTTTGTCACAAGTTGTCACTGAATGAATGTGTGAATATAAAACTAAGTTTACCTTAATACACAACGTAACTTTCACGTTTCATTCTTAGCATTCAGTGTCAGCAGTTTAATTAACCACATGTAACTGTTTTTGCTGAAATCATTTCTGCAATCAAAAACGAGTGATGTGTATGATTCAGCATAGCGTGAACTGACCTGATATGACATGAGAACTGCAGAGTCCAGCATTTCTATTTAGCTCCTCACTTCATTCAGCTCCTATTTAGCCAAAGACATCTGCAGTCGGTATTAAAGCAGTGTGTTGTGTATGGTAAAAGTTAAGTTTTCCATTTTTGGACTCGAATTCGGCATCCTACCGCAAAACACGACATCTTTCCTATTGTAGCCTGCCTGTTTTTTGCAACCCTGGACCCGTGTGACGTCACTGTGACATAGGTTGGTAATTGGTCTATAGCCATTCATTATGATTTTAGGAAGTACTGTATATTAGTAATATTATAATAAGAGTGCAACACGGTGGCTCAGTGGTAAGCACTGTCACTTCACAGCAAGAAAGTCGCTGGTTGGAGTCCCAGCTGGGCCAGTTAGCATTACTGTGTGGAGTTTGGATGTTCTCCTCGTGTATGTGTGGGTTCTCTCCAGGTGCTCCAGTTTCACTCACAGCCTGAAGACATGCTCTATAGGTGAATTGGATTAACATGTGAGAAATGTGCCATTAAGGGTGCTTTCACACTTGCCTTATTTAGTTCGATTGAATCGCACTAAAGTTCGATTTTCCTTTTGGTGCGGTTCATTTGGGCAGTTGTGAATGCAGCAATCGTACTTGAGTGCGCACCAAAAGCGGACCAAAAAAGCGTACCGAGACCACCTCTTCAAGCAGGTCTCGGTACGCTTTTTTGGTCCGCTTTTGGTGCGCACTCGAGTACGATTGCTGCATTCACGACTTCCCAAATGAACTGCACCAAAAGGAAAAACGAACTCTAGTGCGATTCAATCGAACTAAATAAGGTTCATAAGCTTTCAAACTAACCCTGGAGCGATTAGTTTGTGGTGAGAATATGATTCGTACTAAAACAGTCCAACCGCAAAAAGTACTGCTCCTTTTGGACTTATTCAGCTGCCCTAGGCTGATGCGCTGTGCATTATGGGTTATGGAGGAAAAATATTTGTTGACAGCGCTTTACCAACAGAGAGAGAGAGAGAGAGAGAGAGAGAGGGGGGAAATCATTACCTGATGGATCGTTGGTAATATTTCCGCAAGATGACCATGTCGCAGTTTAGCTAAAATAATTCACGCCTCCTGCTGAAGTGACGAGCGATGCATTAAACACTGTTTTCCAGCCGCGGCCGTGCTTCATTCTCGAAATGTATAGTTTGTCTAAAGCAGGGATACATTCTGTCAGCGCAGTTGTCCCTTCATAGTTAAAAGCGACATTTTGTGTCTGCCGGTTTTGTTTACCTGCGGGAGTTCATTGGTATTTTTCCGCACGTGAATTCTGACCAATCAATAAGCAGTTTAGGAACTATGTTCAACAACATCTTTCCAATGAGAGATGTGGATTTTGTCAGATGAGTGCATTTTGGTTCGTTTCAACTGGTTCGGACCAAAGCCAGCAGTGTGGTGTGAAAACGGCCCAAAGACGGCAGAAGATGCAACAATGTATCATTTATTACCCCCGGTGCGGACCAAATGAAGCGAACTACAGATGTGAAAGCACCTTAAGACTTTTCTTAGGGGGTTCATTTTTTGCTTTAAGGGATTTTGACTAAATCAGAATAATAAACAATATGAAGAATAACTTTTAATGAAAAACACACTAGTTTAACTTTTTTTCAGTGCAGTTAAATTTAGGAAATGCCAAATTCCTTTGGCTATTCAAGCTATTTCTGACGAAAATGTTTAGATTTTTATTTTTATTCATTTATCCACTTTCATGAGATTCCGAGTCTGAATGTTTTTATTTTTTTAAATGAAACCTCAAAAAACAAAGACTACTGGATTCTTTTTCCAATATAGCTTCCAAATCTCATTGGTGATTGAAAAATGTCAACATATTATATTTATTAAATGTGAGAGGTCCCATTAAGACTTCTCTGGAAGACTCTGTTGACTTCTAAACATATTTATCTGTACCCTCACTGGGGGGAAGTTTTCAGCAGAAAGTTATTCAATGAATATTTCAGTCTTTTTTAAGTATCAGAAGAATAATTTATGTGAAATATCACACATTATGTTGTTAGTGCTGTAGGAGTTTATATAAATACATATTTTCTATTTAAATATAAATCATAAAATGTAATTTATTCCTGTGATGGTAAAGCTTGTGTGTGTATGTGTTAAGATTGGATATGATCCAATTTCATTTAAATGTGTAATTTCTAATTATAAAAAGGAACATTACATGGTAAATGGTAGATCAAATGAAAAAGGCTTGTGTATAATTGTGATTTATATTTGAAAGATATGAGAATAAAAGATTGAGTGAAATGAGTTAAATTTCAGTATTTTCACCGTGTGAAGCTGTCACGTGACTACAGTAGGCTTAAAATATAGCGTCGCTTTTCTCTTTTTGATCTTGACAGCCTCAGTATTCATTCACTTACATTGTATGCAAATGAGCAGCCTGGACATTCTGCCTAACGTCTTCTTTTTTTGGTGCGTGTGTGTGTTTCACAGAAGAGTGAAAATCACACCAGTTTGAATGACATCTGAGATGACAATGAAACTTTCAGTGAAGTATTCTAAAATAAGAATTACATTTGGAGACGGCTCAGTGGTTAGCACTGTTGCTTCGCAGCAAGAAGGTCATTGGTTCAAGTCCGGCTGGGCCAGTTGGCATTTCTGTGTGGTTCCCTTTAAGTTCTCCAGATTCCCCCACAGTCCAAAGACATGCGCTATAGGTGAATTGGATTAACTAAATTGGCTGTAGTGTATTAGTGTGTGTGTGTGTGTGTGTGTGTGTGTGTGTGTGTGTGTGTGTGTGTGTGTGTGTGTGTGTGTGTGTGTGTGTGTGTGTGTGAGAGCATAAGGGTGTTTCCCAGCTCTGGGTTGCAGCTGGAAGGGCATTCACTGCATAAAACATATGCCAGAATAGTTGGCAGTTCATTCCACTGTCGCAACCTTTGAAATAGACATTAAGTCGAAGCAAAATAAATGAATTAATGAAGTAGTGATCTGCACCCTTGCGAATATTCTTGTTTCAGTGTTTTATTTGACATTCATAAGGAAACAGACACAAACCTTTCAGCATAGAGTTATTCAGTCTCTCTGACTTATTTTTATATCTCTAATTATGTTAACATCATCATTAATTTGCTAATCTTTGATTAATAATGACAGTTAATTTGCTTTCATTTAAATACTGGACAATTTCTGCAAGTTATAAGGAAAGTCATTTGTTTTAACATTGCAAATTCAAGATCTGATTTATACAAATTTAAAGGGGAATTAATTTAATAACAATGTCAACATAATTTGGGACTTAAAAAGAGGGTGGAAAGATAGAATTACCCAAATATACATTGTGTGAATCATGATGTTAATTCATATTTTGTTCATTAACTGTCTCATTTTTAGTCTTCAACTATAGTTACAGTAATTTGATTACAGTACATAACAGCAAGTTCCTAATTAAATTAATAATTACTATATTAATACTTTACTATATTTATAATATTAATGGTGGTAAATTGTAAGAATGCATGTGGTACTGGCCATTTTTCCAGTAAATAACTATAAAATTCTGGCAGTGTACTTCCTGTATTTGCAGTCTAAAAGATTAACGCACTAAGTAAAAGAAAACACGGAAGAGTGTCATGCAAACTACAACACTTTTTATTTCAACATAGGCTCATGGTTGATATGTAGCCCTGTAAACATTTTCGGAGAGCACTAATTGTGTAGCCAGAGAAATGTATGGCTGCATTTTGTCTTTAAAATGAAAGCTACAGGGCGTTATGACACCACTGACAGCTTCTGTTTCTTTTCACGCTACAAGTTGACCGCTTTTTTCCTCGTGGATGACTTTTCATTTGTTACCAGTTTGCCCAGTAGCTCGCCATGTATGTTGGCTGACAGAGAGGAGTGGGGGTTAAGTTCCGGCAGCGAACAGTTCCAGAAAGCAGGTTAAAACTAAAACAAAAGGCAAAAAATAAATCAAATAGTAAATAACAGAGCAAAAATGTTGTAATATCTGAAAACGTGGTAAAAATCAGGAGGTCACAGAGGGCTTTTGTTTTTTCTGGATTGCTTTTGAAAACACTATTGCTTGGGTTTAGAAAACGCGGTGGGCGCTGGTCAGTTGGTGCTTTTGAAAACACTATTGGTTGGGAAGCCGGTGGGTGGTGGCATCGGTCTTTCGGTTATTCAGTCGACACCAGCCTCTGGCGGATTTACGTGAGAAGAGCAGGTGCAAATGGCACTCGAGAGAGAGATTTGAGATCTGAAGCGTACACAGCGACCTCGGGTGGATTTGCAAAAAGAAAAACGGCAAAAAAAACGTACCTCCAGGTATGTATTTGGTGCTCTCCAGAAATGTATACTAGGGTACACATCGATAATGAGCCTGGGCTGTTTTATTTTGAGCTTTCTATGCAGCCTAATTTCTTAGAGTGACCCAAATTTTATATATATTTTTTGCCATAAATTTAGCAGCCTCATAAATTTAGTCTGCGGGCAAATAAATCCTGCAATCTGTGTTGAGTTTTTTCAGAAACGGGTGTCTTCTGCGTTTCGCTTTCGCTGCGCTCTTGAATAAGGTATTGCTGACAAATCAAATCCTGGAGGCCAGGTACAGTTAAGTGTACGCTGGCAGCACTCCAGAATGGCAAATGGAGGAAAGTTATGAGCTCAGTGGGTTTGTGGGTAATTGTGGCAACACCAGAGATGAGTGAGTGTCACAGTGTGAAACGCATTAGCGCAAGCCAACCCTGCTCTTTCTCTCTTTCTCTTTTCCAGCATCAGGGCACGAAGCTCGGACGACACGCGACGCCTGACGTGTCGAGCGAAAAACCCTGCTTCACCTCGAGCTCTGGAGACTGGCATGACCATGAAGGTTTACTGTAAGAATGTTGAATTATGTAGATTCACGCTCAATGTAGTGTTAATGCATAATTCCTCCTAATAATCAATCTTTAATTTTGATGTATGTATTTTTTATGTTTATGTGGTATGTGAAGTGCTAGTGGATCGGGTGTTTAAAATGTCAAAGCAGAGTCGAGTTAAATGGAGCACATGCTGTAAATAATGAAAATCTCCTTGAAGTTGTAGGTTTTCATATACAATGCAGTATACAATGCAGAGTTCATGGCCACTGCGGTGTAGTCATGTGTGCCTTTTTTATTTCAAATAATCATTTGAGTTGTTTTGGTATGAAAAAAATTTGCTTTTTCAGTTTGTGGTGGTACACTTAAAAACAACAAAATTCAGTAAAATGTATGGAAAAAAGATTGACAGCTGTTTTTTTACAGTATTTCACTAATAAAAAATTTTGTAAAGAAAGAAATTAATTTATTTTTTACAGTAAACTTTAAATTCATTAATTTATAGTGTTAATACACTAGTGTTTCGAAGTATTAACATCTACACATTGTACATTTGTCTCACAGACAAAAACACAAGCTTAAGCATATGTTGATGAAAAAGTCATATAATAAAAAAATGTTGACGTCAAACTTTTTTTCACAAGCAGAGAAACAAACTAATCTATAGAAAGTGATCAAGGTCGTTCCCACATCTACTAAACATCATCTTGGTAACACACAAAACATTTTAATCATGGAAAACACATAACTGATCAAAATTATATGTACAAAAACTCGAAGGTAAATAACTGATGGGGAAAAACTAAAAAGAACTATAGTAATGTCAACAAAAAGCAAAAAAAAAAAAAAAAAAGTGAATCCAGGTTGTTCTGAGAAAGTCAACTTGCACTTATTCACTGTATTTATTAAGTAAACTTAATTCTAGGCAGGTTGCGGGTTTTTACTGTAGCATTTTTACAGTTTTTTTACCACTGAAATCGATTTTTTTTTTACGTTGTAGCAACTACCAAGAGTACAACAAAAATCATTAAAGTCATCATAAAATACTATTATCTATCCATTTTTCTTTCACGATGAGCAAAAGGGATTTAATGATTAAATGTAATAAAATAAATGTAAAGGTATTGCAAGCAATTACAGATTATTTATTTATTTATTTATTTTTTGCCCCATTTTAAATTTCTTTCCATCACCTTCTTTCTTTAATGGTTTTGTACTTTAATGCTGCTTGCATAACATTTTTATGTAACAATATTAATTCAGGGTAAAAAAGCTGGTTAAGCTGGTTGTAGCTGGTTTAGGTGGGTCATTTTCCAACCTGGCTAGCTAAGACCAGACTGGTAATTTGCTGGGAACCAGCCTGGAAATGGCTAAAACTCTCTCTAAAACCAGCCTGGTCAACCAGCTAAAACTAGCCAACCAGCTTAAGGAATGTAGTATTTAGGTTTAGGCAAAATTAGGGATGTAAAATAAGATCATGCAGATTATGTACTTTATCACTACTAATAACAGCTCATATATCTTAACAATAGGCAGTAAATAAAAAAAAAAGTAAAATAAAAGTGAGAATTAGTACTTAAACTAAGGGTAAAAAAAGCATTAAGCATGATATTGGATTGGCCACCACAGAATCCTGAACCTAACCCTATTGAGAATCTTAAGGGATGCCCTGGAGAAAATATTTTTCGCAGTGTTCCGACTCTCCCATCATTAATACAAAATATTGTATTAACAATGTGTGCAACCCTGGATTGTGACATTGCAGAAGCATATTGAAACTACGCCACAGCAAATGGGAGCCATAGTTAAAGCTAAAGATGGTCTAACAAAACATTAGTGAGTGTGATTTTTTTTCAGGCATGCAGTAAAATGAAAATAAAAGCAAAACAGATAACTTTGGATGAGGTGCATAAGGAACATTACACACAGTGATAAGAATTGGTATATAAAGTAAAGGTAAAAAAAAGAAAAAAAATATTTTAAATAGAGTTAGAAATGCACAGTGAAATTTTGACTGGTCAAACAGGCTGGTTTTAGAGGGGTTTTGGCCATTCCAGGCTGGTTTCCATCCATTTCCAGCCTGGTTTTAGCTGGTCAGGCTCGGAGATGACCAGCTAAAACCAGCTTGGTCAGCCTAACCAGGCTTGTCAAGCTAGTTTTAGCTGGTTGAGGTTTGTCATTTTCCAACCTGACTAGCTAAGACCAGACTGTTAAATGGCTGGAAACCAGCCTGAAAATGGCCAAAACCCTCTCTAAAACCAGCCTGGTCAACCAGCTAAAACCAGCCAACCAGCTTAGGGAATGTAGTAGTTAGGTTTAGGCAGAATTAGGAATGTAAATTCCGAATATGCAGATTATGTACTTTATAACTACTTATAAACAGCCAATATCTTAAAAATAGGCAGTAAATAGAAGTTAGAATTAGTACTTAAACTAAAGGTAAAAATAACATTAGACATTAAATTAGATTGGCCATCACAGAGTCTAGAACTCAACCCTATTGAGAATCTTAGGGATGCCTTGGAAAAAATTCTAGCATTATTTATACAACATATCATATTAAAAATGTGTGCAACTCAGGATTGTGACATTGCCGAAGCCTATTAAAACTATGCCATGGTGAATGGGAGCCATAATCAAAGCTAAAGAGGTCAGACAAAGCATTAGAAAGTGTGACTTTTTATTATTATTATTATTTATTTATTTATTTATTTTTTGGCAGGAAGTGTGTTATCAGGTAAACACACGACTAATAACTGAGATAACTTCAGTTGAAAATCAAATAAAAACAAAACAGAATATTTTGGATGAGGCGCATAAGGAACATTTCACACAGTAGTGAAAAATGTTATTTATTCTAAAGGTAAAAAAAGAGCATGTTTTAAATTGGGTTCAAGATGTACTGTGACATTTTGCACAACATCTTCTTTTGTGAAATATTTTTTTGTGTGTGTGTGAGCCATCCCTTTAAGCTAATAATCGCAGGTTGCCATTTTATACCAAGCAGGGTTGTATCCCTTTACACATCGAGTAAAAAAAGTCGATCCAAATCAGTTTAGGGTGTCAAATTTGATCCCATATTTTCCATGTTAAGTATATTTTGTAAGCTTATCTTTCACATTATTGAAAACCAATGCAGCCTAATGCACAATTTAACTTCCAATGTGATATGATGCATTTCTCAGGCATGAGCTTCCACCGAAACGCCAATCACGTTTTTTTCTTCTCCTTCTGCGGACTAAATTTATGCCTTAAAACACTGCCCTCCCCTCTTAACTCACCCCAGCTCATGGTTCCATTACCGCCCAGCCAGTGCAATAAGTGCTAATGTAGCAGAACCGATGGCCAGAAACGCTGTCTTACTCAGCACGCCTGGCCCATCAAATCCAACTTTCTACTGCCCATTTTCATCTGCGGCAGATTGTGAGCAAGACGGCACTTTGTCATGGCAGACTCTCTCATCCCTCCGTCGAGCCTGCTCCAAACTGATTGGGGCAATAACAAAGAGCGGCCTGGTCCCATAATTTATTTTATGGCAAATGTATTATTCAGGAGCCCCTCTGTAATTTATTCATGTTCCACATTGCCTTATTACGGTTTAAACATCTGTTATTTTGGTTTATGGAGTGGTGCCAGTGTGTGGGTCGCTCTTTATACTTAATGGTTTCATCAAAGGGACAAGCGGTGTCTTCCCGCTGCACTGGCGTTAAATGTCCTCCATTTAACAATGTTGTACAGGACTAAAACAGAGTCTCGATGCTGTGATGCTCAAACTTGTGTTCGTCTTCTATTTCATCCCTCACACCCGGGCTCTAACATGAAAAGACGGCCGTCCTCACAGAACAAAGGCGAGATCTTTTGTTTTAATAATATTTTCCCTCCTCCTTGCGCATGAACCGTTCCTCTCTTCGTTTTTTCCGTCTTTTGAGAATTGCGTGCCGCTGCGAAGCCTTACATGTGAATGAATCAAACTTATGTCTATTGATGTCGTAACCCTTGGTTTCTCTTGTTGTTTTCCGTCACTCAGTTCCCCCACAGGCTCCGATGATCATGGGATTGGAAAACGAAGAGGTCAAAGCCGGCTCCTTTCTCAAAGTGGTATGCATGTCGTACGGGGGAAACCCTTTAGCCACTCTGCATTGGACTAAGGTGAGAGAAACAGAAGAAAGTAGTCCTCTGTCCCCTGTTCAAGCTAAAAGCAATTAGTTGACTTTACATTAAAAAAGAGAGTAGCTATTAAAGTAATTGAATTTTAAAGTACACAAAGTACATTCACTGGCCACTTTATTAGGTACACATTACGTGTACGGGGTTAAACCGCCTTCTGCCTTCAGAACTGCCTTAATTCCTTGTGGCAAAGATTCAACAAGGTACTGGAAAAATTCCACAAAGATTTTGGTCCATATTGACATGATAGCGTCACATTGCATCCATGATGTGAATCTTCCGTTCCACCACATCCCAAAGGTGTCTATTGGATTGAGATCTGGTGACTGTGGAGTCCATTTGAGTACAGTGAACTCATTGTCATGTTAAAGAAACCAGTCTGAGATGATTCGTGGTTTATGACATTATAATAATAATAATAATAATAATAAGAGTTAAGTCAATGGGTTTACTGGCTTTTTATGTTAAATCAACATAGTTGCTTTTAAGGCAACAAGTTTACTCATTTTTTTTTATTATTATTTTTTTTAATAAATAACTAATCACTTTTTACAGTGTACTTGGCTTTTATCCAATCCAAGTCCAAACAAGAACTTTGTTAGGTTTGCATCATAGATATATACACTAGATGTCGCCTGGCCTATTGTTGTCTATTGGACGGAATGCGTCAATATTGCCGCCATCTTGCTACAGGGTAGCGCTCCTTTGAATTGAATGCGGAACCAAGGTACAGTGGAGGACTGTGGCCATCCAAAGCCAGAGATATACACATATATCTGTGATCGGGAGTTTTCCTGGATGTCAGTGTGTAATTTTTTTTCTAATTACGAAAATTATAATTTTACATCACTTTTCTACATTGATGGATCAGTGACCGCACGGGCATTCCTGACAAAAAGCTTGTGTTTGTGTGTATGGAAATGTACTATTCACCCTCCCTGTTAAATTTAATCTAATCCGTGTCCTAGAAACACAGCTCCTCTCCTGCTTTCACTGCTCATACTGACGGAGGGAGCGATTCGTTTGTGAATTAATCTCCTGAGCGACTCTTTCACTAATGTTAGCCGACAATAATACAAGTTTCTGGCAGCGCAGCATCTCGTTGTCATATTTCTTTTGCATTGTTTGCTGATTTTATTCAACAAAACTAGCATAAGCTGAGTGTTTAGTGCGAGTTGGAGTTGCTTTGCCGTATGGTGAATGCAGTAAGTGACTGTATCATCAATAACGTTACCTGATTAGCACAAAAGTTCAGAACATTCAAAAACAGAAAAAAACTTAATATTACCTATGAAATGTTCTGCCTTTGTGCTTTGTTTTCTTTGTTTGCTCGTTACTACACCCGTAGACAGCGCTAAAGTCCCGCATCTTCACGTAATAACACTGTCTTGACTAGTGCGGTTGAATGACTCTTGTCCTGGTAGCACTGTACCAATGTGGCGGCGCTATTGATGCATGCTCAGGGTCCCTATGCGATATCTAGTGTATATATCTATGGGTTTGCATCATGTGGATCAGTAATACTTTGCAAAACTCCTAATAATTAAAGTGCAATTACACTGCCCATCCAAAAAAAAGTGATCATCATGGAATGCTGTTTACAGGTCCAAGCCACTACTCATTTGACTTGAGAAAATATTTGTTTATGAGCACTTTTTAGGCAATTGAATCTTAAATAAAATCTTGGTGTACTGCATCACAGACATCAATATTTTTACATAGTTTTTCCATTTCCACTGATGATTCTGTCATTACCCCCTCCCCTCAGGTTAAGAGTCTGGGGTTCATCTTCGACAGCACCCTTTCATTCACTGCACATGTTAATAATGTCACCCGGTCCTCCTATTTCCACCTTCGAAATATAAATCGTTTACGTCCTTCCCTCACACCTCATTCAGCTGCCATTCTTGTTCATAGTTTAGTCACATCCCGTTTAGATTACTGTAATTCCCTTCTGTTTGGCCTCCCTAAAAGAACTCTTCATAAATTACAACTGGTACAAAACGCTGCAGCCCGTATTATCACAAAAACCCCCTCTGTCTGTCACATCACACCCATTCTACAACAGCTTCACTGGCTTCCCATCTCTTTTAGAATTAACTATAAAATACTTCTTCTCACCTTTAAAGCCATTCACAATCTTGCTCCTCCATACCTTACTAATCTTGTTCATATCGCCACACCTTCTCGAACACTCAGGTCTTCTTCTTCCATTTACCTCACTGTTTCCTCTGTCCGCCTTGTCACCATGGGGAGCAGATCCTTCAGCCACTCTGCTCCTCAGCTTTGGAATTCCCTCCCTCCTGATCTCCGTAATTTAGACACTCTTTCACAATTTAAGTCCAGACTCAAAACACATCTGTTTAGAACAGCCTATTCTCTTTGACCTGATTGCATTTTTAAAGCTTGTATTGTATTCTATTGTTTATTGTGTTTTTATTTGAATTGATTTAAAACAAAATTACTATTAAATCTAAAATCCTTCATTTTCACTATCTGTAACTAAGCCATAAGATGACAGCAGCTGGGATTGTGTGAAAAAAGAGAGCCCGTCCGTGATACACTGATGACCTAAATAAATAATTGTACACAAAATATTGATTTGCCTTTTAATATTTTATTAGTTCACCAAACTGAAAGCGTTCAGAAAAACAGCTCTTAGCAAGTTTATATAGCTGATTTCAGTTCGATAAGATAAAAAGAAAACTTCTGAATATTTTTTAAGGAATAAACAAACCACAATTGACTAGTTTTACAGTGAGATGTGTAATAAATGATAGTCATACTTATTAGGTACAATAATCTAATTATTAGCATTGAGTTTTTTTTATTTGGTAATGTGTTTGTAAATGCTGAAATTAAAATAAACAAAAATGAAATAGTTTTCTCTGTGTGCAGTTTTTAATAATAAAAAATGTTTTTTTTTTGTTGTTGTTTTTTTTAATAAGTGGAACACCGCTAAATATTAATGAATGTATATGGGTCAAAGACGAAAACGGGGGTTTAAGTATCAAAAAAAAAAAAAAAACACAAGTGTATACAGCTTTTAACTATTTCCATATATTAAAATATCTTAATGTTTTGAGAATGTGTTTTTTTCTGAGCATGATAATGGCTCCATGATTTATAGAGAGACTATAATATTATGTGTAACAATAGTTTGTATGCCAAAAATCTTGTCAAAACAACAATAATTTGATGGCATATAAAAAGACTAAGGGACCACAGTTTTTATTTTTATTTTATATTACTAAATTACAAATGAATTACAAATAAATTTAATTTAAATAAAAAGTGACTCATTTTAAATAAATGTATAATATTACAATTGTGATATAGATATGGATAGATAAAGACAAACGGACGGATGGATGGATGGACAGATGGAATGGAATGGAAAACAGCCCAATGGACAGAAAAATGGATGGATGGATGGATGGATGGATGGATGGATGGATGGATGGATGGATGGATGGATGGACGGACGGAGGGATGGACGGACTGACAGACGGACGGACAGACAGAGACAAATTTATCAAAGTATGAACATAGATAAATGTGTGGAAAGATGATGGTCAATGGCCAAATAGGAGGATTGTGAATGGATGGGTGATATTCAATAGACTGGTGGACAGATGGATGGATGGATTGACCTCAATGAATGTGTGAATAGATGATGGTCAATGGCCAAATAGATGAATGGAGGATGGTGATTGGATGGGTGTTATTTACAGTTTTTCTCAGTCGCTTTGATGCATTTCTCACAAAAGTATTTATATTTGCACAACAGTTAATGCATTTCTCAAGACAAGTACTGTAGTCAATTGTGCACATCCTAGTAGCAGTTTCTCATTCCTTCCAATAAATTGGAGATGCTTTTGGACATGCATCAATTGTTTTCATACAACTCTCTGCTATTTATTACATTATGATTTGCTTTTGTCATGTCAGTCAAAATTAAATAAACTTGTAAATGCTGAGTAGTCATTGCATATAAAACTACAGTTTTTCTTGTTTGCTTTGATGCAGTTGTCAACTGAAACGCCACATTTTCAAAACAGTTAACACACAGGCCTAAACAGCGGCACTCATTGTCAAAATGAAACATTATGCTTGCAAAATGCACATACCGTGTCAAAACATTTAAAATATGCAACAAAAGCTAGTTTTACCTTCAAACAACACAACTTGCAAACAAGTATATGAACTCTTTCAATTATTCATTAGACAATGGACAACAAAAAACAAAATACAGAACTCAGTGTGAATTCTATTTGGGCTGTCAAATGGGCCTTTTTGCAAAGAATTGGATCCAGAATAAGAAATACTTTGATTAAACTTATATTAACTTCATGACATTTTTCAAACTGTGGCTGAAAACTAAAATACCGTAAAAAAAAATAAAAAAATAAAAATAAAAAAAGTAGCAGAAAGAAGCAGAAAAAAGACAAAAGTAATAAAATACTGTAAATATTAGAGAAAACACATGTAAACCAATATACAGTCAAATCTATTGGGAGTATAGGACATAGCCACTATTGACCTCTTCCATCCATGCTGGCACAGAACAACACAGACCTTCCACCGTTTTTAATGTTTGCAGACTGATTGCTAATTGAAGATTTGTGTGAAGGAGTGTCAAATTGGTGCTTCTATGATTTCATACTGATCTTGGTAGTTTCTAATGGTTAGGAATAGATGGTTTCTGTTTGGTTACTATAGCTAAAACAATGGAGTTTGGACTGCTTGAATGACATCTGTGTTAACTGTTTTGAAAAATGGTGGGGAAAATGTGTCAACCCAATGAGAAAGGGTTTACATATTTGCAAGACCTGTCTTCTGCTCTGCTGGGATAGTGATAATGAAAATGAAGTGGAACCTAGTTTCTTTAACCAGGTCAAAGCGAACAAGAAAAACTGTAATATCATTTCATTACTTGAGTCATTACATACAAAAATGTTGAACTAGCTGTCAAAATCTTTCTAGCAAATTTTATTTAAAAAAAATGTAAATCTTTTTTTTCCTGAAAATGTCTTAAAAATTGAACAGTTTCATGGATGATTTACAGACCTGTATGTTGTAGGTTCAGTTCCAATATTTTCTGCAATATTGCACAGCTTTACCCAAAGGAAGTTTATGTTTGTTGTAAATAAGGGTGTATTTATTCTTTTGCACAATGCTTTGAATAAAATAGAATTGCAAAGAGCAAATGCAGTAAAAATGTAAAACATACAGATTCAGTGTCTTGTACTCAAATACCTCACTAAATGCAGTGATGTCTAACTTTACTGCAGTTTTTAAATGGCTGTGCAAATAGTATAAAGTGCTGTCTTGAACATTTTCAGGAATTGTCACCAAAATCTGACTTTTTTTGCATTGGAAAAATTGTACAGAGTAAACTGTCATAATGAAAACATGACAAAGCCATTTGAATATCTTGTTCAAAAACAATGGTGTCAGGA